TTGTGATTCCAGAAAGCAGAGATGCAGATTGCTTGCGAATTCAGTTTGCCAAATAAACAGGCCTCCTTGTTTGGAGGGGCTGGCTGCGTTTACTATCAGTGAGAGGTAGAGGCCTGAGGACTTAAAAGTCCACATACAACACTTAAAAATGATAAAAATGGTCACTTTTATGTGATGTATACATTACCAGAGGTTTTTTTTTTTTTTTAATCCATATAATAATACATTACAGGGCCCAGGATCTGCCAGATCAAACTCACCTTATCTTCTCTCCTTAAAATATTGTCCTGCTTTTTAAAAAAATAATAAAATAAAAATGCACATCTATGTCATGTATTAAAAATATGGTTCTAGTTTCTGAATCAGGACTATTTCTTGAGATCTCACAAAGTTAGCTATTTTGCGCATTATGGATTGACACAAGCTTGATTTGAAGTGAGAAATCCTAAATAGGGTACATGATTAGTTTGTAAGGCAGGCCGGTTGGATTTTATGTGAGTCAGCAAGATCGGTTCGGTGTAAGAGATGTGTAGCAAGTTTCAAGTCCTGTTGCCTTCCTGTTTTTCCTTGCCAAACCTCAGAAAATGGCCAGGCTCCCATATTCCCACATTTTCTCAATAGGGCCCAGCCTCCTATTGAGCCAGCAGGTCAGATGGGTGCCCTGCGGGGGTGTGTGTGTGCATGCACTTTGCAGCATGCCTGTGTGCTTCCTCTTGCATGGCTCTGGTGTATTTTGGGGGGTGAGGGGAGTCAGGGGAGCTTATTCACTTAGGAGGACTTGAATTCTGCTCATTTCATGCTGATCCTTCCTGAGTGTGGGCCATCGCCGGAGGCCTAAATTCCAAGCCTGATGTCGGCACCTCAACAAGAGGCCTCTTCTGTGCCCTGAGCGGGTGTGTAAGAGGAATTCTTTACACCCCTGTGTGTGTGGTAAAACAATCCCAGAATTATTCTTCTCGGCCCAGAACAGGGGAGGCTGCCGAACAGTTTCCATCTACCGGAATATATTTTTATTTGCACTCGCCACACGTGTTAAGGGAGACTTGGCCCTGGAAGCTCCTTGGGTGGGAGTGAAGGTTAAGACTGCTAAGGAGGGGCTCCCGGGAAGCCAGCACTGCAGCCGGGAGCTCTGAAGGGGAGTAAGCACATCTATCCAACCTTGAGCGCAGGCCGGCCTCCCTTCTAGCAACACTGTTTCTCAGCCTCCACTGGGACACTCTGCCCAACACAGTCTGTTGGATAGCTCCCATTTTTTAGAGTGTTGTCAGTATGGAGCACAATCTGCATTTTTGATGTGTTCCACCAGCTAGTCCCAGCTATTATGATCTCTGTCCCATCCCCACGTGGGACATGCCATGTGTTGTGTAAAATCGTACCCCACACGTGCACTCCCCTCTGCACGCTCAGAGAATTGTGACTGTAGCCAACGCTGCTGGGGGGTATTTGACCAAGAATCTGTATTTTCTTCGTCTTCACTTACCAAATTATCAAATTAAGGAATATTAATTGCAGTGAGTGCATCCAATGTGCCAGGCACCACACATAGGGCTTTATATGTGTGTTATCTCATCTAAACTTCCAACACCCAGGGGCACCTGGGTGGCTCGGCTGGTTACGCACCCAACTCTTTTTTTTTAAGATTTTACTTATTCATTTGAGAGACAGAGATACAGAGAGAGAGAGAGAGAGCATGAGCAGGGAGAGAGGCAGAGGGAGAGGGAGAAGCAGGCTCCCCGCTGAGCCAGGAGCCCGATATGGGACTCAATCCCAGGACCCTGGGATCATGACCTGAGCCAAAGGCAAACGCTTACCCCATCTGAGCCACCCAGGCGCCCAACGCACCCAACGCTTGAGCTCTGCTCAGGTCTTGATTCAGGGTCCTGAATTCAGGCCCCACATTGTGCTCCATGCTGGACATGGAGCCTACGTAAAAGGTAATAATAAATAAAAATAAATAAACTTCCAACAACCCCACTGGAGTTCAAATTATTATCTTTACTTAGGGAAAACCACGGCTTAGAGAGTTTAAGTAATTTGCTCAGAATCATCTAGCTAGTAAATTTGTGGACCTAGGATTCAAACTCAGATACACCCACCCCAGAGTCTACCCTCTAGAATCAGACAAAGCAAGACAAAAAAGTCAGAGAATCAGACAGAAAAAAAAAAGAAGAAGTAGTTGATTGCTTTTGTGCCCTTCAGGGATACCCATTTGAAAGTGCCCTGCTGCTCAGAAATTCCTTTCATAAGATGTTTGAGAAGGGGTGAAGGAGAAATGCTCAGAGCTTTACTGGGTTCTGAGAAGAGGTCTAGAGTGCCTGGTGTGGGTGGGGGGATGGTAAGGTGGTTCTAGAAGTCAGTAAGCTCTGTCACATGCCCCTTGCACAGCCAGGTCGTCATTCCCTTGTTCCTGTGCAGGCTTGAGCGGCAGCCCTTTTCAGGAGAAAATTCAAATCATGGTTTTGTTTTTTAATCTTTGAAAACAAATGTTGGGAAGTAAATTGGCCATGGTATGGCCCAGTGGGTTTTTTAAATTTACTTCTATATTGAGTTATAATCTTATACAGGAAGTTGCACAGTCTTAATCAGTTCAGGCTGCTGTAACAAGAATATCATAGACTGGGTGGCTTAAACAACATTTATTTATTGCCTAGAGGCTGGGAAGTCTGAAACCATGGCGTTAGCAGATCAGGTGTCTGGCCCAGACCCACCTGATGGTCTGCAGATAGCCTTCTCCTCACCGTATCCCACATGATGGAGAGCAGAAAGAGAGAGAACAAGCCCTTGTTTGTCTTCTTACAAGGGCACTAATCCCATTCACAAGGACTCCACCCTCATGACTTTAATAACCTCCCAAAGGTCCCACTCTTAATCCCATCACAGCAGGGGTTAGGATTTCAACATATGAATTTTGAGGGGAGACAACCATTCAGTCCATAACATACACAGATCATAAGTGTACATATAGTTTCATGAGTTTTGACAAAGGTATACATCTATCTGTGTAGTCAACAACCCAAGCAGCAGGTGGGACATTTCCATAACCTAGACAATTCTCTCCTGCCCCTTTCTCATCAGTCTCCTTCTCCAACCAGAAGTCAGCCATGGTGTTTGCTATATACTCCTCATCCCTAATGCTGGAAACAGGAGAATACTAGAGTAGGGCTTTGATTATAGGGCCAGAGTTAAGATGCACTCACTTAGGAGAAAGAGCATCTCAACTCACCCTGTCCCAGCCCTGTTCGATAGGTGGCCTATTACAGAGACACTGAAATGGTTTACTTTCATACACAGAAGGTGCCCAGCCTGGTTCCATGATTGGCTGAATCAAACTCAACGACTCATTCATGTACTTCCAGGGTTTGTCGAACATTGACTTCAGTGAACATCATATGTTTCAATCAGTTACATTTCCCTCCCTACATGAGCCTTCCCTGCCTCATAACATTTAGAAATCTCTAGTAACTACGTAGAAGATATCCCTCCCCCAGGTTCCAGTAGAATTTACTGTGACGGCACATCAGTGTTGAGTGCAGAGTGCTGCTCCTTCTCACGTTCCAAGGCTCGCCATATGTAGGCATTACCTTACCAAACAAGATATTATTCAACCTGCTGGATGCAGGGGTGTTCTGATTCCTCACGAGTTCTTATTATTAGTGGGTACTCTAATTGTATTCTTCATGTATCCTTGTTATTAGAGAGTACTATGAATGTGATACTTGAGTTGTAAAGTTTAGAATTCATATATAGTAGAACATACTTACTGCAAAGCCTAGACCGAACATAATTAAATCTTCCTTCAGTGGCTCCAAAGGGAGTTGAGAATCTTACGTCCTCCAAAAGAATCATTACAGTTCCTATTTAATTTATGTAGAATTTCTAATTAGCCAACTAATAGAAAATTTCCCGCTAATAAAGTATCAGATGTGGTTTTTATATATTTGCATGCTCCATGTAGAAGATTTTTACAATTCCAGGTAGGAGACTACACTCAGAACTAAGCTTCAAAGTGACGCCTTATCTAAAAAACAAGGTATGTTTTCCAATAGAATTCAGCCTCCAAAGCCCACCATTATATATTGAGGTGAAGAACATGGGCTTTGGAATCAGACCTCTCTGGATTCAGGTCGGGGCTCAATTATCTAAGGACTGTGTGACCTTGAGCAAGCTCCTTACCACCTTGAACCTCAGTCCCCTCATCTGTGAAATGGGGCTAAGAATTGTCTGTATGCATGTGTGTGTTGTGAAGATTGAATAAGAACACACATGGAGGGCTTCACAAAGCCTGCCATGAGGTGTTCTGTAAGTAGCAGCATTTCAAAAATGAAGTCAACTGAAACTCACCCACCAAGTGAGACCAACTTGGGGCCCTATATTTTAGTCACATATTCCCAAACAGAAAGATCTTAAATTCCATGAATTCGGTGAAGGTGTGTCATGGAGTCTAGAGGACAATGGAGGTGGCCGGTCAGTGGCCAGGGCCCTGGGCTCCCAACCAGCAGCCAAACAGAGCAACTCTGCTTTTGTCTCTTTCCCACACCAGCTTCCACAGCACCTTTCATTTGGACTGCTCTTTGAAAAGTTATGAAACCCCTGATTCAATCCAACACCTTCATTTCATGGGGGATGAAGAAACTGAGGCTCAAAAGAGCTTTGGTGATTTGCAGGCACTCAGCACAGGTCCCCTGAGTCCCACCCGTTATAAATGGAGACAAGGAAAAGTAGAAGGAGACAATGTTGAGTCAGCTACTGAGTTTTCACACGGTTCTTCCAGCCAGTTTCTAGTACCAAAGATGTCTCTAGAAAAACAAAATCATCTGTTTTACCACCACCCCATGCCTCAATTTGTCCGAGTCCTAGCTCGTCGGTGGCAGGAGTGCCTGTAAAAAAGATACTTGCCTGGAAGCCTGTCCTCTTCTGCTGGGGACCACTATTCATGGAGTGTCCTTTGCGCCACCCTGCGGTCACTGACCACACCTCTCTCCATGACCATCTTCTTGCAGACATATTCGTAGGGGTCCCCAGTGAGAGATCGCGGAGGATGTCAGGTTCTCGTCCCTTTTAGCAGCAAAAAATCTTCCCCCGGGACTCCTGCCGGCATTCATTAACTTCCCAGCCTCTTACTTTGCCACAACCTCTGTCTTCCAGCCTCTCAACATTGCCTATAGCCACATCTACAGCTCCTACAGGAACTTCGTGGGGCCCCCCCACTTCAAGACCATCTGCAGACTCCTGGGTTACCAGGGCATCGCGGTGGTGATGGAGGAACTACTGAAGATCGTCAAGAGCTTGGTAAGGAAGGACCTTCTCAATAAGGCCTGGGGCATGCCTTCAGCTCTGTCCGTAGGAATCACCCCAGGAGTCCTGTGCCCTTATCCCTGGGTTACTCTTACCTAGTGCTCTGTGACATTTCTGTGTACCTTCTGACCTTGTGGCTTTGCCTCTCATTTTCTGACACAGAGCTCACTCATTGTACTTGATAACTGAACTCAGCAATCCTGATTTGGACCTTTAGGGCCTACTGATTACTGCTCATCCTCTCCTCCCATGCAGTGTTTTTTAATTTGAGCATGACAAATCCATGACATGCATGTTGCCATTTCCACGCACCGCCCCCCCGCCCCGCCCATGCTCACGGCAGACATCTCTAATCAATCACCATGCCTCTTTCCCTTGGGATTTCTTGCTAAACACTTGCAATACTGCGCTGGCCTCAAGAGAATTCTATATCCGCCCCAAGTATGACCATCAGAACCTTTAGTTAGTTCCCCATAACACTGCTGAAGCAAAGCTGAAACATTTAAACAAGATTTTCCTGAAATTTGGAGATGACAAAAGAGAAGTAAATGAAGTGGTAAAGAACCATGTCAGAAGTAGGAAACAGCATTCACCTGCTAACTCCAGTCCTCTGGTAACAGCCGTGTAGAGCCATGAGTTGTTAGAGACTGTGAAGCTAAATCCAGAGTTAAACAGAAAAATATAATGGATTAAAGATGTCTGCCTTGGACAGACCTATGGATTTTCTGTGTTTAAATTAGCTAATGTGCCTCATTCTCCACAGCTCTCTGGCCCGTGATATTTTAGCTCTTAGTCTGGATCCTCTGTAAGCGTCTCAACCCCAGGAAAGACCCCGTGCCTAGAAATTGCCCTCCTGGAAGTCTGTATGCCTAGGGGACTGAGACAGCTCTCTTTTCTGTCTCATGAAGGCCCATTTTTCTGTATAAAGGAGAATGGGGCTGTGTCCCACCTTTCGGAGGGAACCTCCTCCCCCCCTCCCAAGGAGCCGTGCCTTCCTGTCTTAGGCAGCTCAGGCTGCTATAACAGAATACCACAGACTACATGGCTTCAACAACAAATGTTGATTTTTCCCAGTGCTGGAGGCTGGCCATCCAAGATCAAGGTACCAGCATGGGGGGGTGGGTTCTAGTGAGGACCCTCCTCTGACTGTACAGATGCCTGCCTTCTCACTGTGTCCTCACCTCTCTCTTGTCTCTTCTTATAGGGGCACGAATCCCATCATGAGGTTCCACTCTCGGGACTTAATTACCTCCCGAAGGCCCCGTCTCCACACACCGCCACGTTGGGGGATGGGGTTTCAATATATGAGTTTGGGGGGACACAAATATCCCATCCATAGCACTTGCCCACAGGCCGCAGCAGAACCCCGTACACCCCAGTAGCCCAGCGTTCAGTCCAGAGATGCACATCTACAGCAGCGGTGATTATTCACACATGTTGCCCTCTTTTGTCAGCTCCAAGGAACCATTCTCCAGTACGTGAAAACACTGATCGAGGTGATGCCCAAGATATGCCGCTTGCCCCGGCACGAGTATGGCTCCCCAGGTGGGTGATGGGGCTCCCGGGGCAGAGGGCAGTGATAGGAAAATGATGCAGGCCCATCCCACGGTGGGAGGGGCCTTGGCCATCTCCTGGGAATGTTCGATTCTCTAACACGCCGACAAGCTGGCTCAGCACTGGGTTGTGTCCTGCCTCCGCCACTAGCTAGATAGCCTTGACCCATTTTTTTTTTTTTTACAAGACATGCAGTTACCAATTTATTGACCCTCAGCTTCAGGTTCATCCTTTGGTACCTAGCCAGCCATAGTATGTTGGGCTCTTTAAGCATTTGTCCTTTACAGTAAGTTGGGTTTTTTTTAGCCCTTTTTTTTTTTTAATTTTTTATTCTTATGTTAATCCCCATACATTACATCATTAGTTTTAGATGTAGTGTTCCATGATTCATTGTTTGTGCATAACACCCAGGGCTCCATGCAGAATGTGCCCTCCTCAATACCCATCACCAGGCTAACCCATCCTCCCACCCCCTTCCCCTCTAGAACCCTCAGTTTGTTTTTCAGAGTCCATCGTCTCTCATGGTTCGTCTCCCCCTCCGATTCCCCCCCTTCATTCTTCCCCTCCTGCTACCTTCTTTTTTTTTTCTTAACATATATTGCATTATTTGTTTCAGAGGTACAGATCTGAGAGTCAACAGTCTTGCACAATTCACAGCGCTTACCAGAGCACATACCCTCCCCAGTGTCTATCACCCAGTCACCCCATCCCTCCCACCCCACCCCCCACTCCAGCAACCCTCAGTTTGTTTCCTGCGATTAAGAATTCCTCATATCAGTGAGGTGCCTTGACCCATTTCTAATCCCTCCGGGCAATAGTACCATCTTCCCCGGTGAAGGTAAAGGATGCGTGCTGGACCTGCCTCACAGGACTGCAGGGGGGCTGGAGAGGACAGCAGGTGTGGGAGCATTTCACAGTCTGCTTGTTAAGGTCTTTCCTAATTCAGCACCTCTAGGATCCCTGCCTCCATTTGCCCACTGGTGGGAGGCAGGTTTTGCAGGTGATGGTACAGGTGACATTTCCAAGGTGAGTCAGGAAACGGGAGTTTTTGTCACTCTGCCTCAGGGCAGAGAAATCACTCTTTCTTTCCCTAAGAATGAATGGCACAGGGACTGAATGGGGAAAGATGGAGGCTGTGAGTTTGGCGCCAGGTGTTTTTTTCTAAAAACCAAGCTGTCAGGTGCTGAGTGGGTGTGATTCAGAAGAGAAAAGGGCTTGTACTCGAAAGCTCTGGTTTTCAATCCCAGCTGCCCCACTTACTAGCTGTGTGACTCTGGGCATGCCACCTACCCTCTCTGAGCCTCATCTGAAAATAAGAGTAAAAGTACCCAGTTCATGGTATTCTTATGAGTATTAAATGAATGGTTGTAGAAAAGTGCTTAGCACAATACCTAACATTTATAAATAAATGTTAATTCCTCCATCATCAGGATCATTATCAGTTTGTGGAGGGGCTGGGAGAGATCCAGGGATGCTGTATTTGTGTGTGTTTGTTTTGCCCCCAAAAAGATTTGAGCCAGCCTCCTGAGCTTTCTTTAGTACTGAGCCCTGAAAGAAATCTCACCCTCGGCCCAGATATAGAGAGACATGGGTTTGGCTTTCTGCTCTCCCACTCAGGTCTGGGACTGCTGGTCAGTTGAGCAGGGTCAGTTTCCCGCTAACTGTCCGCCTTCATCCCCCAGGGATCCTGGAGTTCTTCCACCACCAGCTGAAGGACATTATCGAGTACGCAGAGCTCAAGACAGACGTGTTCCAGAGCCTGAGGGAGGTGGGCAATGCCATCCTCTTCTGCCTGCTCATAGAGCAAGCTCTGGTGAGTCCTGAGCCCAAAGGCACTGGGGACCCTGACCGCAGCCAGATACTTGAGGCCCCGCTACCGCGCCCTGCCCGGGAAGCCCTGCGGCATCGACTCGTGCTCTTCCCGTGCACACGCCTTATATCTCCGTTCTGCCTTCACACAGCTCCAACCATTTGAACCCTGGGAGAAAGGCAGACATAGGCGTTACAGACCTGGGTTCCTTCCCAGGCCCACCTTCACCACCTGCAGGATCTTGGCCACCCATCCAGGCTTAGCTTTCCATCCACTCGTGAAATAATAACCACTTGGCTGCTGCAGGCCAGGCACTGCCTTGGGAGATGTGGCGGTGGCCAGTCCCTGCCCCCTGTCCTGGACAGTAGCAGGGAGACTTACACTGAACAAGTGTTTATGCAGAAATGCCGTGTTTACATCCCAGCAAGTGCTAGGAGGGAGGAGTGCAGGGTTTCGTGGGAACATAAGATAGAACCTAGTGTAGTCCTCGGGGAGAGGGAGGACTTCCCTGAGGAGGTGACCGGAAGAATGACCATGAATTGGCCTGGTGAAGAACCAGGGACGAGGGTCTATGCTGAGGGAAGAGCATGGAGCGCTCTCTGAATTTGTTGTGATGGGAGGCGGCCATTCTCACCCAGGGTAGTTTAGAGGCGGAAAGGAGAGAAAGCGTACAAAGTGCATACAGTAAGAACTAAATAACTGGTCATAGTTAGCATGCCGTGCCGAGGCTCCCACCTCCCAGGCCCACACAGACCCAGCGCACCCTTCACCACCTGACCGCTCATCTGTCCCCACCAGCCCTCATGGCTTCAGCAGAGGCTGCCTCCTTCTCATTCTCCCCAATGCTCTGCGCTGCCTGATCCTCTCCTCGTGTGGGGTCCACAGCCCCCGAGCCGTGGGGGAACTGGTGCAGTGGCGCGTTGGAAGGAAAGGGAGAGGCATAATCCTCAGGAGGCAGTGGGAGGATCATTCAGCAAAAGGGGACAGAGAGCCTGCACTGCTAGCTTGTGGGTGAATGGCCTCAGGTGAGGGAGACAAATTACTACGGTTCTTACTCCAGAGAGGGGCATGATCGGAGAAGTGAACAACCAAAGACTGGGAATGCAGAGGGTGGTACATGCTGTAAAGGAATGGAAAGGAAAACAGGATAGAGAGTGATGGGCGTCGGGAGGGACAAGCTGCTTTTGCAGACGGTGGAGCTTGATGTCTTTAACAAAGAGAAAGAACCCTGGAATGAGCTGGAGTGGAGAGGCAAAGGGGACAAGATAGGAGCTGAGAGAGGCAGGTAGCCGCGGGCCTGGGCAGGAAGCCATTGGAGATTCCTGAGGTGGAGAGTGAGGGGGTCAGGTTTACAATGGTGAAAGGCCCTTTCAGGCTTGGGAGAAGCACCGAGAGGAAGCAGCTGCCCGGGCCAGGGATCATCCTGGAGGCAGGAGGCACCTGGAGAGGGGAGGGAAGGAAGGGACTAGGGAGGAGACAGAACATGGGTAGAGCAAGAGGAGAAGTAAGCTCAGAATAAGAATCGGGAGATTCCTTTTTTTTTTTTTTTTTAGATTTTTATTTATTTATTTGACAAAGAGACAGACAGTGAGAGAGGGAACACAAGCAGGGGAGGTGGGGGAGGGAGAAGCAGGCTTCCCGCTAAGCAGGGAGCCTGATGGGGGACTCGATCCCAGGACCCTGAGATCATAACCTGAACTGAAGGCAGACGCTTAATGACTGAGCCACCCAGGCGCCCCAAGAATCTGCACTTTAAACTCTAAGAACCAGTGGTTCAGCGGGAAGG